GCCCACAGTCCTATAAAAGGCAGAAACAGAAACAACAATTAAGATTCCTGATCTTAGGAATGGAACAGTGGTCAGTATTTCTCAATACAATTTATCATTCTTAATTACAATGACCTGGCTATATCATGAGGAACTTTTAAACAGAATTATGGCCTAAATCTTGAAAATTTGTTGTTCTAATTTATTCCCTTTCTTCTGGTGATATCTCCTTTTGAAGAGACTATATTTCTTTTTTACAAAAATATTTTTCAAAGCTTTCTTCAAACTTCTTTTTTTCAATTAAGAAAAAAAATAAATTATTGTTTAGTTTCCAGCATAGATTTAATGACACAAAGAAAAATGTGCCTAGAAATAATTACAAGGACAAATAGTAAATTAGCAGTTGTGCCAGTTCTCAGGGCATTCTACAAAAAAAAATACAGTTACACAGGGAAATGTATGATTACACCAAGCGAGGACTCTATTTCCAACTAAATGTTTCTGCATCTATACTTAACAACAGTGAAATGAACCAACTACCCCCAAAGTAATCAGTCATCGTCAGTGCTTTCACTCTGGATTTTTATATGGAATGTGCTAACTACTTGTTTTCTCAAACTCAGATGCTTGAAATTATGTCCCCCAGTCCACAGGTTTTATTTGCAGAGATATTAAACTCCTACTAGTCTCATTGACATTTCTGTTAACATTGAGAATAAAGCAGACTTTTCATAGGAATTAGGTAGGCACATATGGGAAAAACATTGCAGGGTATATATATTATCGTTGGCATTGGCAATTAAATGTGAAATGCTGTAAACCTGTCACATTCATTATTATATAGTATGCTTTACGATATAGAAGAGATATTAGAAAGTGGACAGAAATAAATTAATACATAATTCTAAAATAACTTGCGAGCTCCTTATCCCTAGTCTGGACCATTTTACGCTCAGTTAAAAGATAACAAAACAAAGAGGAACTAAATGCTCCACTTTGGAGCAGGCGCCTTCTGCTTTTACAGAAGGAGACACCATTTGTAAGGGACCTTCTCATATCCTTGCTTGGAGATGGGGCCACAGCATGCAGGGACAGGCTGTTTATGAGGTAGCACAATGACTTAGGATGGAGGGGCTTTCATAATTAGTAAGAACATGTAGAGTGATTTAAAGATTTTACGATTGTTCCATCTAGAGTGTGCTGCCTAGAAGTGAAGGACAGCATGTCACTGAAAAATATAATTTTTCATAAAGCCAACATGCAATCAGTTTAATAATTGACACTATTTCAATATATAGTATTTCATGTGCTTTATTGCTCTTTTCCTTTGTAACAAATCTCAAAGAAATAAGGTTTGTGAGAGCTATGGGAAGAGCTTGTGGATAGTAGGGCTCAAACACCCTGGGAGAATGAGATGGTGTGATTTCTTGACAAGAAAGCTTAGGCACATCACTGGGATAGGGAAGGGGGAGTTTCCATGTAATATGTGGGGTAAGCAAACATAGACCCACATATTCCTGATAGGCCAGTGGCAGTCCTCTTTTACTTGTTCTCTTTATTATTATCGGAAGTACAGTACTCCCAGCAAGTTCAAACTGTTCTTTAGATAGTCTCTTTAGATAGTCTCTGTTGCGGCTGTAACTACCTGGTTTTTTTCTTACAAGCTGTTCTCTCCATTTTTGCACAGCTTCATATTCTCAGTCTCCATTGTTTAACTAAAATCAAATTCCTCTAAAACCTGTAATTTCCTTTTTAAATATTTACAAACTCATTCGGTAAACATGATGTATTTTTCAGCTTAACGTGATATCATCACATTCTAATATAAAGCTGAAAAGAGCTAAAAAACCCATAAAGAACACATTGCTGATATGAATATTTAATAGTAATGATCTACAAAAATGGACTTTAGTATTGAACTATTTAAATGGATCTCCTGAACATATTAGAAAGTATTAGATTTTATGTTCCACTTAGTAATATATTACTTAAAGATGCATACACAAGACTTTTATCTGACTAGCTTAGAATTGCCATCTTCTTGCATTTTGCTGGCATATTTTTATCTTTACCATCATTAAACATGTTGTCTCCTCGTCTCAGAGTATTACTAGAACTTAAGAACTCCAGAAACACAGCAACTCGCACTTCCTGAGATGTGGTTGAAAGCTACTCTACAGGCTAAGCAGAAATATATGCAACAATATTTAAATATAAGACATTAGCCTGATGAGAAACCCTCAGTTCCTTTGGAAACATCAGGTTTGTTTCATGCAGACTCAGTTTTCAAAGGCCGTTTTGCTATCACTGTGCAAGTGTCATTAAGATCAAAATTTGTAATAAGTTAAAACCCTGTTACAGACCAGGGCCTGCTGACAAGTGTCCAAAGATAGTTCTTATCCTGAAGAGCTTGAAATCTAAATAAATTAAAAATAAATAAATAAATAAGCAGCCCACCTTTACTTGGAAGTAAGTTAAACTGTTAAAAAGCACCTGTACATCACAAGCAAGGAAGGACAGTGCTCCATAGTAAGTGCAGGATGTATTACACTTTACATTGGCCCTAAGTTGATCAGGACAGCTGGAGTCCAAGATCACTAGAAAGAGGAAAACTAGCAAAATTATTTTTACAGGGGATAACGGAGACAGAAGTTAAGGTACGAACTTAGAAGTTTATAGTTACCTTTTTATTTTTAAATTTGTGTTGCTTCTTGGTCAGAACACAAACAATCCAGAATTCCTTGCAACTCATGGGGAACAATTGTAGATCCTTGCCTAAACTGAATTCTGAACTTGTTAGCTTGACTCTGGAGTTTTTAATCTGTGGTGAAGATGTATCCCCTTGAGCTGAGCAGGATATGCATGGCTTCTCAGTATGTGTCTCTTACCCTATCAGGTGCTATAGACCCTTTTTGTTTGTCTTGTTTGATTGATTGGGTTTGGTATTTTTTTAAACTAGCTCAACTAGAACATGCATTTTAGCAGAAAGCCCTACCAATGGGTAACTTTCTTACATTCCAAAAGGCTTTTGTAAATTCAAGAGTGACCTCTTTTATTCTGATAACAGAAAAACACTCTCTCATATTCATATTTAGAAGGTAAAGATAGCTACTATTAATGAAACAAAATATTTTAAAATCTGTTGGAATACTAATTACATTGAGTACCTTCTGATAAAATGTCTCTCTTCTCTGCTGTGTGTGAATATATATCATAATATTTTAGACCTTTATTTTGTATCTTGCCCTAGCCAAAAAAACAACTTTCCAATACAGCTATAGTTGAGTGTACCCATAATTTAAGGACAAAGTGTATAAGAATTCCTAATTACCTCCAATGCAAGTTTGATGAACCTGTGAAAATTAAGGCGGGGGGGGGGGGGGGGGAGGGGATGAGAAATATTGCAATAATAATAAATCACCAATTACTTTAACACTACTTTTTAGTGTTATCAAACAATAAAATATAGAATATTCAGACTAGATCTTGTTAATGTTTTCAGGCCCAGATCAGAATAAATCTAATGTAATGATTTTATTTTTCCTTCTGGTGCTTCTTAATTGCTCTGGAGGAGTTTGGTTTTCAGTAAAAGCGTGTTAATTATTTGAGTTAAATAATGTAAAAGTAGGATGTTTTTTAAAATAAAGAAAAATCTTGAAGGCAAAATGCTTTCAAACAAAAATTTCCTTTTGTTGCAGATTTCTTCAGATGGCTTCCAGTATTTCCTGGAAGAGGCATTGCTGAGACAAATCATTTGCAGAAACATGTTGATTTCATATATTTAACTTAATATCATGGAGAAGAAATTTGAACAGCAAAACTTGTTTCTACAATAAAAGGGTTATCATCCCATCCAGATTGGCTGGAGATGGATGTAGATACTCTATGCTTATTATGATCCGTTAAACAGCAGTAGCTTATTCAGTACACTGCTATCCCTTGGATGCACTGACCTTCTCACATATTGTTCAAGGACTGCATGTAAAATGGCCTTCCACAAAAAACTGAAATGATATATTGAAAACACTAGAGCAGTGAAATGCAGCTTTAGAGAAGAACCATAAGAACGTTGCATGATAAATACACTAATACTTCAAAAAAACCTACTCTATTGCTAGTACCAATACTAAGATTTGGCTGCAAGTTTATTTCCTCAATGCATTTGGGAGGCAGCCATCTAGTGAGTTTTCCCTGCATCTAGTTGGCATTATTACTTGAAATTACTCTATGGGTTTTCCCCCATGGCATCTCAGAACAAACTGCTTAGGATCACCAAGGTGATGGCACTATCTCTGCTGTTCACTGTGAGCTGGTAAATAATTAAAGTTAATTTCATATACTAGGAACATATAGCACAAATCTTGAATTTCACCAGCTACACTGAAACTGCTTTCAGTCCTCCAGCTATTTTAAATCAAATCAGTTATGAAGGAGAATTACTGGATATTAAATACAGCTATAACTCCAGGGACACCACAAAAAAGACGTTTTATTAGATTTAGGGTTGTGATAACCAGTTTGCCCCACTGTGGTCAGTGTACTTAAAAACACATAGGGGAGAAGAAACATAAAAGCCGGTACTAACTACATGAAAGATGTACAGTAAGCTGGTTCTATGGGCCTAATTCCACTTATATGGGGATATGTAAGGGGTGACTCAGCAAAGGCTCAGAGATGATACATCATAATTTACCAGTGCAAGAGCTGGTCTGAAACAAATGAAGAACATGCAAGAGTAGTCTATTGCATACTATTTGAATGCATTTTTAGAAGCCCAGATGCACAACAGTTCTGACAACAGCTTCAAAGAAGCAGCTTTGTAAAGATACACAAATAATACACACATACTATGACCTCAAGTAAGAAGTCCTGATAATGACCGTAGTACTGCTTGCTGTTACAACTGACTTTTGACTAGATAATATCTGTGAATTGAGCTCTTCAGGCTGTAAACAGCAGTAAAGTGCTTGCAAAGATCAAGGGAAGCAAGAGTCACTGATAGCCCTCTGCCTTGCTTACAGATGAACTCCTGAAAGAAACACCTTTCCCACTAAATTCCACTTCTGTTATGGAGCCGTTTTCCTTCCAAGGCTGGTTAAATGATCATCGTGGTGAAATAAAACAGAAGAAATCCTTGAGTATGTTTGGAGATAACTTTGAAACAGAGGTAGGATGGTCTACTTTCTCTGAAAGAGAGGGATAATTTTTAAAGGTATAGATAATAGGTGCCTACTGTTCTGACTGAGTGAATCCAGGCCTGGGAACAGGATGTAGTCAGCAGAGGAAGTTACACACCCCTACAGAACAACTCAGCCTGCCCTGCCCCTCAGAAGTGCCTGTCTTCATCCATTGATTTGACCAGCTTTGGGCAGGGGCTTCCTAGCTGAGATACCTCCATTCATGGAATCAGCCTGAACCTTATTTCCATTCATTTCCTTTGGGATTAAAACAGCTCGCTCTCTCCACTCCCCCAACCCCCTGTATTTCCCAAATCAGAAACACCAGCGCGATCCGAATACTCCTCACAAGTGTGTTTGGCTTCCCTATATGTTTGAACAGCATTCTTGGTGCCAAGTCTAATCTGGGTGTCTATATACACTTTTTTCCCTCCCCCACAATCTCCATAAATTGCAAACAAGGAAAACCGGACAGCACCAAAGAGCCTGGGCTGCGCTCTAAAGCATTGCACTTCTCAGATTAGTCAGACACAGTCTAGTTTGGGTGTAAATGAAGCTGTCACCATTTGATATCTGTGCTGTATGCACGATAGTTTACAAAACATATTCTTTCCCTGGGTTACTTGCAGTCACACTCTGAAGAATCCAATACATTTGACAGGAAAGTAACAGAGAGTGTGGGGCTGTCAGGAAGAACACAGAAAAGGCAGATAATGAGAAAAATAAGGTCCAGTCTGCAGCTTTTTTAATGTTAATGGAAGAATCTTTTCTACTTCAACAGGCTTTTGACAGGGCCCAGAGTTCATGAGGAGGAAGTGCCTGTTCCAAGAACAGAAGCAGGAAGGATATAGATGCAAAGCTGAGAGTGGGAGGAGGCAGAAGGAATAGATAAGTGAGGATGCAGAGGAGCATAAGGAGTGGCAGGTGTGATCAGTTCCCTTTTTATCAGTAGGAATCAATATGAGAATACCAAACGTAATGTGAATTTTAATGTCTGTAAAAATAACACCATCTTCTATGAATATTTTTCTGTAAAAATAGAATATTTCAAATGCTGTAGGAAGATGAATATGTACACTCTGGTCATTGGGTTGAATCTGTTACTTTTTTTTTTTTTTTAAGGTTACAGCTTATGGACCAGGAACAACTGAGAAAAGTAAAAAGAATTCAGATATCTGGATATGGCAGCTGGTATGTGCCAATTCACACTTGCTAACCAGTGAGTTCACATTTCAGTTCAGACTGAACGGTAGTAAAGCCTGCTAGCACCAGTAACATAAATGTAAATTATTAGCTTCCTTCTCATAGCAAAGATCAACAGGCGCCACTCTTCAGCTTTAAACTATCATGAAATATAACTGTAAGCTGCTACCACCATAGTCTGTTTTTCCTCATCTTGTATGTTGAGGACAGAGATACTTGCATCCTCCATCAGGTGTTGGTGGGGATTTTAATATACCTTACCTAGGGTATATCCTGTAAATATATCAGAATGCCTACAAGTGATAAAAAAAAGCATCACCTATTACTTCTGCCTTGAAGCGTTTGTCCTTATACTAAAGTAACACTGGAATCAGGTAGAATAAGCAAATAAAAAGTGTAAATGAACTCATTTATACTAAAGCACAGTGGTCGGTGATCCAGATGCCCTTCATTCAACTGGCTTCTAGGAAACACTTGCAGCCCAAAGGAAAAACAGAGAAAAGCTAGTTTTCATTTACACAAGTCAGGGTAGCTTCGGAGGCAGATATTTCAATCGGTTCCTGTTCTGTTGAAATTCACAAGGGCTATGAAATACTAATTAAATACATAAAACTTTTGACAGACACTTGTTTACACTGCAGGTTACAGCAGCCTATGCAATCAAGACCTTGTTGCTAGCAAGAACCTGGCTCCTCTGCTTGATGAGATAATAACAAGTCCATTCCAGTGTGGATGGACTCTTATTAGTTATTTCTGTCAGCTT